TTTAAAATTAATTAATAATAGTGAGTTATGATATTATTTATTTATTTTCTATATGATTAATAATATTGGTAGTGTTAAAATAATTTAATATATATAATTAAAAAATTAGAATATATATTTAAATATTTGAAAATTATATCATAATAAAATATATACAATATAATATCGTTTTGTAAAGAATAAAATTTTATATATTACAAGTAAATAAAAAATTACGTTTATTTATTTATAATTAAGATAAATTAATTTTATTTTAAAAAAATAAAGTTTTAAATATAGATAAAAATATTTGTCATATGAGAAAGATAGAAAATATAGGGGATTTTGAGTGATTCTACGTGATAAATGATATTATATATTAAGTAGTTAATTAAATTAATTTATATTTACTAAATATATTTTGATTTAATAAATTTTCATCTAAAATAAAAAAATATCAATTAAAGTGAAACATTAAAAATAAACAAGGTGTTAATTAAAATGGGACGAAGGAAATACAATATATAAAAGTGATGATCATATTCTCTAAAAAAAATATTACTCCATCCGTTTCACCAGAATTGACACTATTTTTATTTTTGTCTATCTGTCTCGTAACAATTGACACATTTTTATTTTTGGTAAAAATTATTAAATCAAAATATATTTAACAAATATAAATAAATTATTTACATAACATGTAACATCATAAATAACGTAGGACCACTCAAAACCCCTTTATTTCTACATCTCTCTACTCAAAAAAATAAATATTTTTATCTATATATCTTTTATAAAATTGATTTATGTTAATTATAAATAAACAAAAATATTTTTTTATTTACTTGTATTATAGAAAATTTTATTCTCTATAAAATGATATCCATATTGCATATATTTTTTAATTATTATATAATTTTTTTAAATATTTAAACATATATTTTAATTTTTTTAATCATATATATTAAATTTACTTTTATAATATAAATATTATTATTAACTAATTAAACATCATCCCTTAAATATTGTGTCCCGGTTTCAATTCCGGTGGGACGGAGGGAGTATTTCACATTTTTTGAGATTTTAAATATAAATAATGAGCTCACATATATATAAATGCTAATTAATTACTCTCTCAATCACTTAACAAATTATTTATTTTTTTATTTTGGTTCATCTCATAGCAAAATATTAATTTTTTTTAATAACTGTATTATCTACCTAATATAAAAATACTTTTACAACTTACAATATAATCCATCTGTCTCATATATGATGTCATGTTACTTTACTGTAGGCATAATAACTTAGGAATTAAATAATTAGTAATTAATTAAAAATTTAGTAGTGAAAATAATTATGTATATAATAAAAAATAATTATAGATTAAGATAAAAATAATTAATTAGTCTAATTAAAATTAAAAAATTTACAATAAAAAATTTAAAATAAGATTAAAATGTATAATTTTTTTTTTTCAAGTGACAAAATAATTTGGACATACAAGAATAGGAAGGTAGACAAGATAAATGAGACGGAATGAGTATTACATAAATGTCATTATATTTATATTATACAATACTAATAAAATTATTTTAATATTTTCTATTTTATTTATATTATATATAACAATATAATACTAATATACATAAACTCTGTGCAAAAAGGAAGCATAATAATATGTTTATATAATTATATTTTCATTTTCTAAAATATTTATTCGTAATGACATATTTTTATTTGAAATATTATATTTGAAAATTTAATAAAACATTTTATAAAAAAATAAAATTTGATACTATATATATTTTTTAAAAATATATTGTTTATGAATAATATAAAAAATTCAAAAAATATGTGTGTTTATTTTGTGTTTTGTTTGAATTATGAAAAAATTGTCCCAATAATATAGAAAATAACATTGTATTGAATATTGAATTTTTATGAAAATAAATAAATAAATATTATATTATACTCAATGGTGTGTGTGAGTGTGTTTTTATTATTACGTGGTTTGGCGTTTTGGTATTCGTTTGAATAATAATTAGATACGATTATTTATGAGATAATAAAATTTTTATTGAATAATATATAAAGTTGAATAGTTTGAAATTGAAGCCAAACTCGAAAAAAATACTCCATTCGTTCACACAATAAGTATACATTTACTTTTGGCGGAGTTTAAAAAATAATAGTATTTTAATTATAGTGAGTAGGTAAAAGTAGTGTAATGACATTTTTGCCCTTACTTTTTGATATAAAAGTAATGATGTGATATAAAGTAAGGATATTTGTGGAAAAAAATGAGGTATTTAATGAAATGATTACTTTGTAATTGGACGTCCCAAAATAGAAATATGTATACTTTGTAGCTGGATGAAGGGAGTATACCTTTGCAGGTTACTATTTGGCTTTAGAAATACACTGTTTATTATCGTGTCAAATTTGTGTCAATTCGTATGCATAAACAAATCGAAAATTTTGACTCAAGTCTAATTATTTCGTATCGAATTATCGTATCGTATCCGATTTTGCTAGCTCTACTTTTAACGACCAACATCCGGGATTTCCCCGGAATTCTTCAATTTGCTGGCTTTCCATAGTCAGTAATTTAAAGTCTTCCGAAGCTAAGGACCATCGTATGCCGACCTTCGGCAAGATCTTTTGGAATATTTTCCGGAACCTTAAACTGACTTTCGTCATCTTCTCGTTTAATCAACGGCGCAATACCAAAAATCGTACGAGGATTTGGAACCTCACAAAATTTTGATTTCAACAATACATAAATGTATTTGTTTATTGCATAAAAAAAAAAAAAAAATTCGAATGTGTATCGTATGATGTAATATTTTAAAAAAATAAAGATGTGAGAGAATAAATAATGCAACTAGAATCTAAATCGTAACCAAACACACCTTTGATTCTTAATTATTATTATCATTGTTATTACTTCTTTTCTTCCCGGATAAATTATTCACGTTACTGTTACAATAGATAGAAAAGTTTAGATAAAGTACAGCTAACAAATAATTAAAAAATATTAGTAAAAATAATTATAAATTAAAATTAAAATAATTAAATAATTTAATTAAAATTTAAAAAATTATAAATTATTATTATAGATGATCTATTTAGCCTATGCTTTAGATTGTCTTTATTTTACTAATTTGGACTCAAATTCTATTAATTATCATTGCCATTGTTGTATAAAATAATTCAATGCTATATTTTGAAATTTTTATTTAATTTGTTACTAAATTATTTTTATACAATTAATTTGTTAATTCAACTAATTGGAACCACTCAACACTATTTCCAATAACTATTCACTTCTTACCATTTTCATTAAAATATTTAAATATATTTTTGTATCAAATTTATGTAACTATGAACAAATATGATTATATTTTGTTACTCAACCTTTATTCAACAAAAGACTATAAATATATAGATTAGGACATATATAATACTAATAAAAATTTTATAATTTTAGAGTGAGCTTTGGATAAATCTCTGATCGAATTTAATAGTCTGCAAACTAAGTCCGACAAGAAAAATTATACTAGACTAACTGCGTGATATATGAAATTTGGAGGCGTCGGGGGTTTGTATTCTATTCGTTATAACAAAATAAGTTGTTCTTTTTATGTTTTTTATTTTATTTTTTATTTTCACACATTTTTTCAAAAAAATTAATACATACATATTTATTATTTTTATATTTCGTACACGTCCCCTGTACCTCACATCATTTTTTTTTTTTTCAATAATCTCACAAAACAAACATATTTAGAAATTGAAAATCAAATGGACTATTTTTATTTGGTTATATCTAAAGTAATATTCCATCCGTTTCGGGATATTTTATTTAAGGTAATGTGGTTAAATTAATTAATAATAGTGAGTTATGCTATTATTTTATTATATTTTTATATGAATAGTATTGTTAGTAATTTTAAAATAAGATGTAATATATATAATTAAAATAAATTTAAAATATATGTTTAAATATTTTAAATATTATATCTCAATAAAATATATGTAATATGAATATCATTGGGTAGAAAATAAAATTTAAACAATATAAATAAATAAAAAATATTTATTTATCAATAATTAATATAAATTAATTTTATAAAAAATGTGAAGTTTTTAATAAAGATTAAAACATGTGTTTATCAAGGAGGAGATATAAATAAAGGAGTTTCAAGTGCATTCTACATTATGTATGATTTTATATATTATAAAATTAATTAAATTAATTTATATTTATTAAATATATTTAAATTTAGTAAACTAAAAAAAAGAAAATAGAAACAATTGTAATAGCACAAAGTACTCCAAATACCAAAATACATTAATTTTTACAAAAATATTTATTTATTTTATATTAAAGTAAAAACATCAAAACTATTTTATGTGTTTTTATTATTTAATAAAATAATATTATATTTTAATTTACTATAAAAAATTTTAAAAATACTATCTCCATAATTTAAATCTATACTCATTTTTTTTTTGAATTTTCATAAAAAAATATTTTCATTTTTTTTAAATAAAAAATTATTACACTTATATATATATATATTTTTACTATAAAAATAAATAGTAATAATTATTATTTATTTTTATTAAAACATTTGTCCGATCAAATGAACACGTGCGGAGTACAAAACTAAAATAAAAATGACAACCTAAAATGAATCAGCTTGAACATACGCGGTTGTGTTCTTTTTGATATGCAAATTTTTTTTTTGTTTAAATTTAAATATATATATATCCTTATTTAAAAAAATAAATAAATAAAACAATTATTGAATATTATCCTATTTATAAAAATATTGTAGAAATAATGGGAAAAAAAAAAAAAAATAATGAAAACTGACCAAACATCCCTTAAGGTTGAATTAGTGATTAGTATTAGCGGCGTGATTTGCTTCTCTCTCTCTTTCCCACGCCCTTTTTGTCACATTATTATATTTTATATTTTATATTTATATATATACCCCTTTTCTTTATTTAATTATACATTCAGATGTATTTACACATTCATATTTCATAATCAATCCTTCCTTCTTCCTTCCTCCCATCCGCCATTGATAGCCGGCGCTCCTCTTCTTCAATTTCTCCGCCCGCCGGCAAACAAACCATATATAAATGACGTGAGGACAATTTTTCTCAGAAGATCAACAATGGCGTGCATCGATACAGTCAATTCCATGCTCAATTTGCAGGAGCCGAGCATTGAAACCGATAAATTGAGCTACGAAATCTTCTCCATTCTCGAAAGCAAGTTCCTGTTCGGCTACGATGATCGCAAGCTTTGGGTTCCAACGCCAATCACCGAACCCCTCCAACCGAAGAACGGATTAGTAACCGCCGCCGGCGTCGGCGTCGGAGATGTGAAGAATCAGCGGGGGAAAATCTGCATCCTCAGCGTCGACGGCGGCGGGATGAGGAGCATCATGTCGGGTAAAACGCTGTCGTATTTGGAAACTGCCTTGAAGAAGAAGTCGGGGAATCCTGACGCGAGAATCGCCGATTATTTCGACGTCGCCGCCGGCACCGGCACCGGCGGTATATTCACGGCAATGCTATTCGCCGCGAATGATCAGAACCGTCCGATTTTCCCGGCGGAGGACACGTGGAAGTTTCTCGTGGCGGAAGGGAAAAAGAACCGCCGATCCAAGGGCGGTTTTCTCGGCCGGTTTTTCGGCGGCGGCGGCGGCGATGGTGGTGGTGGTTCGGCCGGGTCGAGTCTGGAGAAGGCGGTCAAGGCGGCGTTCGTGGACAAAAAAACCGGCCGGTTCTTGACGTTGAAGAACACGCTGAAACCGGTTTTGATCCCCTGCTACGACCTTACCAGTACGGCGGCGTTTCTGTTTTCACGCGCCGCCGCTCTGGAAAGCGACAGCTATGATTTCAATCTCTGGGAGGTCTGCCTCGCGACGTCAGCCGAGCCGGGGGTGTCGCCACCGGTTCGGATGAAGTCGGTGGACGGTTCGACGCGGTGCGTCGGCGTCGACGGAAGTCTGGCGATGAGCAACCCGACGGCGGCGGCGATCACCCACGTTTTGCACAACAAGCAGGAGTTTCCGTTCGTGAGGGGCGTGGAGGACATTCTGGTCCTTTCCGTCGGCGGCGGCGGTCAGCTGACGGAAGGCGCGTTTGACTTCGACCAGGTCAGAAAATGGAAGGCCAAGGATTGGGCGCGGCCGTTGTCTCGGATCTCCGGCGACGGCGCGGCGGAGTTGGTCGACCACGCGGTGGCGATGGCGTTCGGCCACAGCCGGAGCAGCAATTACGTCCGAATCCAGGTACAAAACCCCTCCAATTAAGGCAATAATCTTTCATTATCAAATCTCGATTTTCCATAACTATGCAGTAAACCTGTTCGACCAAATGTCCCTTCCAAATTTAGGGTTTAAAAACAGGCTGTGGGATGGGGATTGGGGAACGTGCACAGGTGGGCTTTTGGTAGCATGCAATTAAATTCTGAATTGTATCTTTTCTTCGGGAATAGAAAACCAAAAAAATTGGGTGTAACAGAGCCAAAATTGCCAACCAGCAGTTCGACATTGACATGGTTTGCCGTGACTCTGTACTGCTGTCTGTCTCTGTGTGTGTGCAGTAGTAATTCCCGTTGCCATTGCCAACACCCCTCTTTTTACTGTACTACACCATTGATGATCATTTTGTCCTTTCTCTGCAATTTTCTGGTAAAAAATTGATACCTGGTTTTAAATGCAATGTTTGTCTGTAGGCTGTAGCTCACCACCAAATTGCTTACCAATTTCACTTCCTATTATTAATTTTCTTGACCATTACTAGGGTTAAAAAAACACAAATTTCTGTGTATCCAACTTGCAATCTTTACCCATGGGAAATGCTAATATTATGATTGGCTATGAGACATACACATAAGTAGGAATTTGATGCTTAGCTGTAGAGATGGGGACATGAGGAGGTAAAAGAAAAATGGAGTTTCCTCAAGAACCAATATTATTAATGTGCATTTTTAGGATCTAACACAACCTGGATAGGACCAGAATGGGTCTCAGTTTATTTGCAAATTTTCTTGAGAACTTGAAGAAGACAGGAATGGCGTGGGGTTTGGCATCCTTTGTTTCATGTATTGTCTTGTCTATCATTCAATAGTAGTTGCTTGCTTACTCTGTTGGGACATCATAGTACTGCCTTGTCTTATGGCCCTGAATGTCCCTTCTTTATATGATCTCGAATTCTCTGTTTACTTCTATTTTTGTGGCGAGATTTACACTTGGGATCAAAATTTGATAGGAATGGATCGGCCTTTTGCTAAAGCAGTAGTGTTTATTGTTTACTAACACGTTTCTTTTGTCCGTGTGGTCACCGATTTTCTTGGTTGTTAGCTCATTGTGTGAAATCGCCATTGTAGTTATTCGATATGGAATTACTGTGGTTAAAACCATTGTAGTTTGATTTTGAGTTGGGCCGTCTTATCCCTTTCACTTATGATGCTCTCTCAGCTTTAATTGATCGGGTCGTGCCTTAGAACGCTCTTTCCTGAACTTCAATGATTATTTTTACGCTCTTACAGTTGACTAACCGGATGTCCTGAACCACAGGCAAACAGTCCAAGCTTTGGCCAACATGGGGCGAATGTCGATTCAGACCCCATGCTAGCTGGAATGGCGGATGAAATGCTGAAACAGAAAAATGTCGAATCAGTCCTCTTCAGCGGGAAGAGGATCACCGAGCAAACCAACATGGAGAAACTAGACTGGTTTGCCGAGCAGCTCGTTCTTGAGCACCAAATGCGCAGCTCCCGGATTGCCCCCACTGTTGCATTCAAGCAGCCCTCATTCGCCATGCCGTAAAAGTCTTATTACGAAAAAGGTACACTCCCTATAACTACACAACTCTTTTTGGCCTTAAAATGTTGACACTTTTTATTACACTATATATGCTTTCTTTATCACTTGCATAATTGGATTCATAATTGTTTTAGAGATCATTAATCAGTAGAAAATGAAGTCGAAGAAAGATATATTGGATTTGTCTTGTTCCTCCTCCTCCCGTGGGTTTTGTCTTGTCATTATCTACCTATTTCAGACACAATAAAATCTCTCAACAACCTCGGCCCCTCGCCCGGGCCGGTTGTTGCAGAAGTACTATTACACGTAGTACCCCGTGTATTTTTCTAGTGGCTCAACTTCATCCCCTACTAGGTCGGGTGCCTTTCATAAGCTCTAACCATTTTGCCCCACCACACCGACACCGATTCTTGTTCTAGTTGTCATTTAGATGAGGCGTAGCATTTCAAGGGTCTTCGAGTAACCGATGAATTTGTAGCTCTTGGACTTTAAAATTCTTATGATTAGTCATTTCTTACTAAGTTTTTACACTATCATCAAATCTATCTAACTATTATTTTTTTTTCTTTTAATAGTTGATCGTGAGTACTTAAATTTTTTATCTAATTGTTAGTTCTTACCATCTATTAGAAACTTTCGACATCTATGAAATTATGTGTCCTAAAGAGACATGTGGAGAATGCGATATTTTATGAGAAAAAATATTTTGGTTTGATATATATATTTTAGAAATTATTGTAAATTTTTTAAAAAGTATCTACGTAAACAGATCCGAGCCTGTATATTTTGTTTGATAGATGGATCAGCTTTAGAATCTCTTGCCTTTGCTGGGACAGGGTAAGCATTAGGTTGCCGTAATAACCGGAGTCGTAAATGCTCGTGGGGTTCGATAAATTTACCGATAATTGCGAGCTTTTGAGAAAAAAAAAAAAGAAAGAAAGAAAACATCATCGTACGATGCCAATGTTGAGGAGAACATTAGGCAAATGTGTTTTAAGTTTGGTAAATGTTTGGGTATGTTTTGTTGGTCAAAAGTTGTGAAAAGAAGATAGTTTAAAATGGGTATGACGTTTCTTTGTGTTTTTTTACAGACATTGATATTTGATAGCTTGAGAGACAGCATAAATGGGGAAAAAGTAAAAAAAGTGGAAAACAAATAATGAATTTACTTTTAGAGAGAGAGAGAGAGAGAAGGCAAATAAATGATTAAAGCATGCAAATGTTGTCTACTGTCTGATGTTGTTTGTCCCACAAAACATTTTTTTTGGTTCCAATTCTTGAATTTCTTGACTACTCATCACTTTTGGTCCACATTATTTATTTTAATTTTGTTTTATTTTATTGCAGTGTTGATTGGGAAGATGGGAAGTGTTGAAAGCAAAACCCCTAAAGAGGGCATGAAAGTAGTATTTATATAATATATATATAAATATGATGGTGGTAGAATTTAGATTTTTGTTGAGAAATAGAAATTTATTTTATATATGGAAGTAGGTTTGAGTTGGGATTCTTTGGTGGTGAAAAATATATGGTGTATTCTCTTTTTAATTAAAAAAAAAAAAAAGAACATTGATCGAAAAAAGCTTCTATACATTTGTTTGTATGAAGTAATATATATACCTCTTGCATCTTGTTAATACTCCTGTAATAATATATTCATTTATTATTTGCATTATTTACTTAATATTTTATTATTCTCTCCATCTTAGATAAGATTGAGGTGTATTAGTAAAAATAATTTAAGATTAAGATTAAGATAATTAAAAATTTTTAAAATTTTAAATTTTAAAATAGAGAAAAAATCAATTTTGGTCACAATATAATTACAATTAATCAATTTTGGTCCCAATATAAAAAATTCATCAATTTTGGTCTCAATATAACCAAAATTTATCAATTTGTGCCCCAATATAAAAAACTCATCAATTTTGGTCCCAATATAAACAATTTCAATCAATTTTTGTCCCATTATAAACAATTTTTATCAATTTTGGTCCCACTGTTAAAAAACTAACGGAAATTGCTAACGTGGACATGATGGAGATGACGTGGTAGTTGACATGGAAAGTACACGGCCATGTACAATTATACACGGCCACGTTGTTACATGGCCATGTATATTTCAATGTATAATTATACATGGCCATGTTGTTACACGACCATGTACAATTATACACGGCCATGTTGTTACAGGGCCATGTATATTTCAGTGTATAATTACACATGGTCATGTTGTTACACGGCCATGTACAATTATACACGGCCATGTTGTTACATGACCATGTATATTTCAGTGTATAATAATACATGATCATGTTGTTACACGGCCATGTATAATTCTACACGGCCGTGTATCTTTCTGTTTCAGTCTAAAATTTTAATTTTTTGTTATATTTTTAATTTTTTTTTGAATTTAGAATAGTTGATATAGTTAAAATGGAAAATAATAATAATAATAATCATAATATAATTAATTTATATCAATTTTAGTTCAAATATAAGTATTTATCGAGTATGTTCTTTTGGAAGATTTTGTCTAAGATTCTACTATTTAGCAAAAAAATTTTTATTACAAACATCCAATTAATGTATTGAAATTTTTTATACAAATATTACTCCATCGGTCCACTTTGAAAGTATATATTTGTTTTTTTTTTTTTGTGTGAATATTAATTATTATATCAAAACGTAATAAAATCAAGAGAAAGTGACAAAAATATTTTTATTAATGTGTTATAATGTAAATATAATAACATTCATATAAAAAATTATACAAATATAAAGAAATTTTTAATGTTAAGTACTAAGTGGACGAAGGGAATATTATATTAGTATTATAAAATACTAATAAAAATATTTTTGTCTTTATTTGTAATACATAATTAATATTTAAAAATCAATATATAAAAATAAATGAATAATTAGTTACGGGACCGAGAGAAGTATATAATATTATATTGACAGTACATGAAACATAAATCATCTAACACGAGTATAAATAAGGATGACAATGGATTATGGATCTATCCGATAAAAAAAATAGGAATGACAATGAAATCCATACACTAGACTCCAAACTTAACTATACTCGGATCCAACTTGAGGTATATCCGATGGATCCAACAGATTCAAAAAGATTTTTATAATTTTTAAAAATTTAACTTAAAACTTATATATTTTATTCAAAAATATTATAATAAAATAATAAAAATTAAATTAAACAAACTCAATATTTTTTTTTTAAAAAAATATAATCATATTTTTAGAAATTAGTATTTTTGTCCTTAAATATCATTGAAATATTATTAATCTATTAATTGGGTCTAGGTACGAAAGTTTGCTTTTAGACCTTGGATCCGACTCAAGCCCGAGTAGGATACACAATATTCAACTGATCTGATACTTAAATAACTGTACTTTGACCCCACAAAAATAGGTTAGGTCCGAGTCTCATTGGACTCATTGTCATCCTTAGTTATAAAAAATATTTATATTATATTAACAGTTTGTAGCAAATATAAATAAAATATTTTGTCGAACTTACTAGTATATTTGTATTAAAAATAGTAATATTTGTGTAATTATTATAATAATAATAATAATAATAATAATAATAATAAAATAAAGATAATTTTACTGAGATAATTATTTATGATAACAAAACTATTATTTTGAACGAAAAAAATACTCTCTCAATTTAGGAAAATTAGCTCATTTAGGCTCGGACACACAAATTAAGAAAAATAAATATTTATTGAAAAAGTAGAAAAAGTAAAAATTTAGTTGAATATATTTTTGTTAATTAGTAATTAAAGAGAATGAAATAAAGTTTGTGGTGTTTGTTGTAAATAAGTATTGAATGAAGGATAATAATTAAATAGTACTCCATCCGTCCCAGATACCATGTCCACGCACTACAAGAAAAAATCATTTTTGTAACAAAATTTTTTTGTCTTTAAATCTAATTTTTCCGTTACTAATGACATTAGAGACGGAATTAGAAACGGAATTACGTTAGCTACGTGAACTTTAGGGACGAAATTCCGTTACAAATATATTATTTTTTTGTAGTGACGTTGCCGTTTCTGTCCGTCCACATACCATGTCACTTTTCTTTTTTGAAAAATGATTAGACACTTAATCTTATTTTAAACTTTTTAATTTTATTTTTTAAAATTTTTTAATTAAACTAATTAGTTATCTTAATCTTAATTTATAATTATTTATATTATAGGATAATTATTTTCACTAATACATTCTTAATTATCTACTAATTACACCCCTCCTAAAATACCGTGTCTACAGTATAGCAGACACTGTATCTGGGACGGAGTGAGTAACTTTTTGACTTTTTCAAATATAGTAATAGAATAAATTTAACAGACAAACAAAAAAGAATAAATTTGACGGATTGAGAAAACAGTAAACAAAACTATTGAATTAGTACAAATAAATATTACACATATAACATGTCAACTGATAATACGTAATAGTAGTTCATATAAGATAACGTTAATTAAAGTAATGTGTTGTCACTTTAAATGCTGATTAAGACTAATTGATATCTGTATAATTCTCATACTTATACTCTATTTATATAAATATTTCAAAATAAAATAAATCTTTGGATTTGTTTTTTTTTTTTAATTAAAAAATAAAGTATTAATTTAAATACTCCCTCCGTGAAAGTTACCATTTTTTATTTTAGTCCGTCCCAAAACAAAGTTACCATTTTTTAATTTAGTAATTGTACTACCTACCTAACATAATAAATAACCTTTCAACTTACATTATATTACACAAATGCCATTACTTTTATATTACACCATACTAATAGGAGTATTTTTGTCCTTTTAACTACAATCCAATATAATACTAATATTTAAAAATCTATGTGCAAAAAAACAAATGTCACCCTTCTTATGAGATGAAGGGAGTATATAATTTTCAATAAAAATTTATTATTATTATTATTATTATTATGTTTGATTTTAGAAAATATGTCAATAATATAAAATAATATTTCGTATTAAATTATTGAATTTTTTATAAGTATATATAATATATATTATATATTGTGTGTATGTGTATATATTAATATTTTGGCAAAATTGCTCATAACTCCCTTGTAGTTTCGAAACTCAGCGTTAATTCCCCCTCTACTTTAAAAATTGCATGACGTCCCCTTATACTTTAAAAAATGTTGCATGAAACTACTTTGTGGTTTCGAAACTCAGCATAAATCCCCATTTTTACTTTAAAAAATTGCATGACGCTCACTTATACTTTAAAAAATATTGCATAAAACTCCCTTGCCATGCAAAATATATAGATAGGAAATCATCTTCTTATCACACGAGGAAAGTTTTATTATAGTGGGGTTTCATGCAACATTTTTAAAAGTATAAGGGGTACCATGCAATTTTTAAAGTATAGGGAGATTTTACGCTGAATTTCGAAACCATAGGGAAGTTATAAACAATTTTACCTAATATTTATATATATATATATAATAATAATATTAATCGATTTTTTTTTTTTTTTTTGATAGATGAACATATATCCTTCTTATTTATTTATTTATATTTGTATTTACATATTATGTGGTGATGAAGGTAGTGAGTCTAACAAGCTATATTTATGATCTCTTCTAATATATTTGGGGTTTATATGTTTTTAATTTTTTTTTTTAAAATTTTATTTAATATTAAATACGATAAATTGTGTTTGTTTTTGTATGTTAGCATCAATATATCGTATATCTCTAGTGTAAATTTTTTTATAAAATTTGTATACATTAGCTTTGTTAGAATATGAAACTGAAATTGAAATTTTCTATTCAATCATAAGAATACGTACATATTTATAGTGATATATAAATCGTCTAAATAAGACAAGAATTTTACGAATCTCTTAAATAAGATAACTATCATAAATATAATATATTGTTCCTAAATATATATTAACAAGCTTTATTCATCAAACTCTCATTTTCAATTGTAATTTCCCAAAAATAATAATAAATAATAAAAAATATATTTTATAAAAGTCAAAAAGTAAAAAAAAATAAAAATCAAATTATCATTATAAAATATAAAAAAGTCAAAATAATTAATTTAAAATAATATATTTTTTATTTTAATACAATTTTCTATACCACACCAAAAACCAATTTATCTTAAAACGTTAGGTGAACGAAACCATTAAAAATATATATCATTTATATTTTATTAGAAATTTATGTATCTTGTACAACTTTTGTAATTATGAGAAAATATATTGTTAATATAAAAAATAAAATTTTATATTGAATTATTCTCATTTTCGAATGTATAGAATATATATTATATTTTTTTGTAAATATATATATATATTTCTTCTGTACTCTAATTTTATGAATATTATATTTTTTTATATTATTAATAAAAAAATGTGTTAATTTTTATGAATGAACAAAATCCTTATATGTTTGATTAAAAAACAAAGTGTTTACTTGGGAGATTTCAATTTTACTATTTTAAAATTTTTTTTCCTCAAAAAAAAATCAAAAAATATTTATTTTTTATTTATTATATTAAACTA